CGGGGCCGACATGTTTCCCGATGTGTGCTGTCACGTGCGCAAGCGCACTTGACACACTCTGCACGTGCCCCGAACGTGGCGCATCTGGCGCGGCTAGAGTATGCGGCGCACCTGGCGCACGCGGAGGCACGTGGCGCATCTGGCGCACCAGGAGTGCCTGGCACGCTCGGGCCCCAGGTTTGCCTGGCGCGCGTGGCGCGCCTGGCACGCGTGCGCACCTCGCCCAGCGTCGCACACATGGGCTCGGTTTGAGTTCCCAGTAGCTGCGCATCCAAAGACGACCGCTGAACATGGTGAGGCTCGGGTGGCACATATGTGTTGTGAAGGCGGGTGGGAATGAGCTAGACGGCTTACTATCTGGAGGGTGGCTTGACCCCTCCCCCTTAACTCCTCCCCTGGGCCAACAAAAAGCGGTTGCCGCGACCCGCCGGAAAGTCCAAGATGGCCCAGGATGGCTCTAAGAGGGCCTCAGAGAGCTCAAGATGGCCTCCACGATGGTCCAAGACACGTCAAGATGGATCGAGATAGACTCCGACAGATGCCCAAGAGGCACCACGACAGCCCCAAGGCGGTTCCAAGTGCCCTTCGAACCGCCCAAGGAAGCCTCACTGATACCCAAATCCTTCAAACACTGAGTGCAACAGGACATCAATATTGTCTGCGTTTTCGCCTGTTCGCTTCCGATTGGCATCGCAGGCCTCAAAATGGCCCCTACATGGCCCAAGTGAGCCCCAAGAGGTGCCCAAAAGGGACCCCCAGAGGGCCCCAAGCAAGCCCAAAAGCGCCCCAAGACCGGCTCGAGAAGGCCCCAAATCGTAATTGTTGAGCCTCCGAGGGTGGGGGCAAGACGACCCGAAGAGGCTTCCCAGGAATCTTACTATAGCCCCAGAGAACTTTCAACAGAATGCTGCAGGAATCCCATCGACATCCTGTAAAAGAATCAACGAAATACTGCAGGGGTGTTGAATCCGTTCAGCACTGGGGGCCAAGGCGCTCCAAAGCGGTCCCAACAGGAGCCTCCAGAAGAAAAAGCATCGAAACATCTACGGACAATTCGTGTTTTCGCGTTCTTGCCTTTTCGCTTCCGATGGCCTTCCGAGGCCTCAAGATGGCTCGGATGCGGGGGCTGCGGGCTGGATTACTCGTCGAGGTCTGCAAACCTGGGCTCCAAGATAGCCAGGTGCAACTCCACTCACTCACTCATGCCATACGCCGGAGCGCGTGGGCGAAAGAAGACAAGACAAGGCCAGCCGATTCTCACCGCTTTGCGGGAGCGGCGGCACAACGGCGGTCGCATAAAACACAACGCGCGCGGCAGCAGGAGGAGGAGGAGGAGCAGGACGAAAGAGGGAAGACAAACGGCCGGCGAATGATACGGAACGTATCCGGCCGAAGGCTGCAGAAAGGACGCCAAAACACCGGGCATCACATGCAAGGTATGTACAAGCTACATAATGCTACTGGCGATCGGGTTCATCATCATGGTGTGCAATGTGTTCAGAAATACTTCGCCATTCGATGGGGTTTTGCAGGCGCTGCGCCCAAGTATGTTCCGGGCCAAGATGAGCAACCAAAGCCTTGTGTAGACATTTCGCCCATTCGTGTTTGGGCCTGCCTCTCCTCCTCGGGCATGCATCCACGGCTGAAAGAACAGTGCCGGGCTGAAAAGTTGCCGAAGAAAGTATGCATCTGGAGCCCGGCCAATTTTGCCAAATAGTAATATTTGTTGTTGAAGAAGTTGCGCGCTGTACTGTTTTTGGCCAGCATGTTCCAGAACTTTGCTATTCGGTACTCGCGTAATCAAGGCGGGAGGTATTCGTCGCTGGCATCTTGCTTGAAATCCTTCCAGTCTTCGCCTTTCTGCTTTGTTTAACCACGCCGTGTTTAGTGAGTACATGATTTTGGATGTGACCAGTGCTTGGACTTGATACAGTTTTCGCTGGTTGCTCAAAGCAGTGTGTTTCCATGCTCTGTCATACTTGGAAAAGTCGGCCCAAACTGCCCCTATTCTTTTGTTTAGCTCGGTACCCAACTTGCCATTATTGTACAAAGTAGCACCCAAATATGTCATGCTTCGTTTCTCGCGTTCTTGCCTTTTCGCTTCCGATGGCCTTCCGAGGCCTCAAAATGGCTCGGATGCGGGGGTTGCGGGCTGGATTACTCGTCGAGGTCTGCAAACCTGGGCTCCAAGATAGCCAGGTGCAACTCCAGGTTGCTCGAAATGGCTCCCAGATGGTCAAACAGGCACCACATTGGCCCCGCATGGGGAAACACAAAGGTACCGATGCCGCTACTCCCCTGGCCTCTCCCTGGGTGCGTTCTGACCATAATTTCGGAGCGCATTCAGCGGTGGCGACGAAAGCCTCCCAAGAGGCACAACACGGAGAAAACGGGCGAAAGGTAGCCGTATGGGTGCACTGAAAACGAAAAGGATGAAAGCAAAACATTTGTGCTTCCAGTACATAAGCAAGAAGTATTTGGGGATGGCGGCAATGAGCCGCGTGAAAGCAAAAACACATGCGGCCTTCAAACAAATGCTTCCAATACGAACAACTTGTTGATTCCAAGCATTTGGCGCTCATCTGACCGCTTGGTGCGAGCATCATGCGTGCCTCCGCGACGGGCCGGGGCAGTCTCCCGCGGGTGGCACCCCAGAGCTGCCCCCCCCCCCCCCCCCCCCCGAGAGAGAGTTCGCGACACGGCCCGCGAGGCCCGCAAGGCATGAGTCCGTCGGATCCTGTCTCTACGTCTGGAAATGGTGCTTTTCGAGGTCGCACTTTCGGAAAATGCGGCACATGAGTGCATGGTTGCGGTAAGCGGAAAAAAGTACCTGGGCCCTCCCGACTCCCTCTTGTCCCCAGGGAAAAGGTCTGGCGGGGGGGGGGCTTGGAGAAGCTACTGGTGTACGGTCCCTCCCCCCCTCAGGCTGGGATGTGTTCGAAGACCTCAAACAGCAGCCTAGGAGGAGGAGGAGGAGGAGGAGGAGGAGGAGGAGGAGGAGGAGGAGGAGGAGGAGGAGGAGCAGGAGAAAGAGGAGCAGGAGGAGGGGGGGAACGCGCTCGGCGGAGTAGGAGTAGGAGTAGGAGTAGGAGGAGGAGGAAGAGGAGGAAAAAGGAGGATGAGGAACAAGGAGGAGGAGGAGGAGGAGGAGGACGAGGACACTGCTCGGCCCGTCCTCGGCCCGACGCAGTGGCGGACGCCCGGCGCCGCTGCATCTGAGAGCGTGCCGGCCTCGGAGCTCCAGGCACGAGGGAGGCGACGGGTCCGTCACGGGCGGCGAGCGTGTCAATAGCGGCGAGCGTGTCAATAGCGGCGAGTGTGTTAATAGGGGCGAGTGTGCTAATAGCGGCGCCCTCGCGGTCTGGATTCTGGGGCGGCCCCTCGGATACGCGCCTTGCATGTGACGTCGCCACGATGCAGTCGGGGGCGCGCAAGCATGGATGAGCGATCCATGGATCTGGCGCGCGGTCGCCAAATCCATGGATCGGGGGGGGGCCCTGCCCAAAATGCGGCCAGTGCCGCCTTGTTCGGCGGCGACAATCCGCGCTGTCCCATGGAACCGGGACCCGTCGCTGATCCGCGCCCCCTGAATCCATGTTTGCGATCGCCTGAGCCTTGCAGGTGCCGAGGCCACGACAGCAGGAGACCTCAAGGAGAGAACGGCGTGGACCCCCGCCGCTGTCGGCAGACCGCGTCCCTCCACGTTGGCCCAAACCATGCCCCGTGGGCGGCGCGCACAGGGGGGGTAGGGGGAAGGGGGAAGGCTTCTTAGAAGGAGCCTGCCTCTTAGAAAGCGCTAGCCTGCCATCTACAGACAAGGACAGCACCTTCTAACAGGATGGTTCCGGAACCGAACCGAACCGGCCGAACCGAACTGGGCCGAACCGAACCAGCGCGAACCAATGTTTTTTGTCAATGGGAACCAATCCGAATCGAACCGGAAAATTACGACACCGAACCGAACCGAACCGAACCGAACCGGGACTCCGAACCGGGCCGAACCTCCCCCCGCCGAACCGGCCCGAACCGGACCGAACCGGAGCGAACCGGAAAACTGGCCACGGAGGGAGGAGGAGGGAGGATGACCGGCGGCGACGACGACGATGACGACAACCCCCACAAACCCCCCTTTCCTTTGGGGTTTGGGGCCCCTTTGGAGCCCCTTTGGGGCCCCTATGCGGGTTTGGGGCCCCTGTGGAGCCCCTTTGGGGGTTTGGGGCCCCTTCGGGGCCCCTTTTGGGAGTTTGGGGCCCCTATGCGGGTTTGGGACCCTTTTGGGGGTTTGGGGCCCCTTTGGGGCCAGCTTGGGGCGCTCTAGCCGGAACCGGACCGAACCGGAACAAGAACCGGTCCGAACCGGAAACAAACAATAAACGTACCGAACCGAACCGAACCGGAAGATTACGACAACGAACCGAACCGAACCGAACCAGAGGCGTTTCGGAACCTAACCGAACCGAACCGAACCGGAACTTTCCTGTTCTAAGCAGCAAGGATGCTTCCAAGAAGCCTTCCCCCCCTCCCCCTACCCCCTTCTGCGCGTGGCCGACCTTGGCTGCTGCCACGAACACCACACATGAACATTGTTTAAGCTGTCCTCATCCGCACTGGCATGGCATTCGCCCCACTAACCGACTGACGCGGGACGTAGGGGTGGGCTGACGGGGCTGAGATACCACGGCCCGATGTGGATAGGGATCGGATAGACGATGCTGACACCCATGGCAACGGCGCCTCCGCTGACAAAGATAACCATGCCCTCACTCGAGAAGAGACGGCGCACTCTGAACGACATCCAGCAAACTTGTGCATGTACGAGCAAGGCTGTCGTGCGCCCGATAATCGCCTAGCCGATCTAAACGAAGCGACGTGCAGGCGTCAGAGCGAGAAAGCATGCCGGCAACAGTGGCTCAGACGCTCTCCGTCGCCTGGTCGCGGCGCCGCCACCCTGCCTGCACGGTAGCGGCAATCCGTTGCTACCAACGAGCTCCTCTCCAAGATCAACTCACTGAACAATCATGGATAGCAGCAGCCGTGCCTGTGATGGCCAGGCCAGCCTTGCCGCAGCTCCACCAAGGTCCCCACCAGCGTAAGCAGCAGCAACGCGAACGCCTGCACGGCTGCCGGAATCCATCCCCGTCCCTCGACAAACAGTGTCAATTAAGAGAGCGGGGATGGATGCCGGCAGCCGTGCCTCGTCCGATGCCTCTGACGCCAGCACGCGGCGCCGCCAGCGCTGGTGCCGTGCCTGTACGGTTGCCGACATCCGTCGCTGCCAACGAACTCCCCTCCCAAACAAACTCACTGGACAGCGACGGATAGCAGCAGCCGTGCCTGCCATGGCCAGGCCAACGCTGCCACAGGTCCACCAGGTGCTCCATCAGCTTAGGCGGCAGCAACGCGCCCGCCTGCACGGTTGCTGCAATCCATCCCCGTCCCAATCCCTCCTTTGACGAAAAGAGGCACAACGACTTAGGCGCGCAGTCTCGAAATGGCAAATGATTGCAACAGAGACTAGACATCGGGCACTGCCGACTCGATCAACGACCAATGTCAAGCAAGAAAGCGGGGATGGATGCTAGCAACCGCGCCTTGGCCGATACCTCCGTCGCCAACTCGCGGCGAAGCCAGCGGCGGGCATGCACGGTTGCCGCAACTCGTCGCTCCCAGCGAGCACCCCTCCAAGAAAGGCTCTATGGACGAGGACGGAGAGCGGCGAGCGTGCCTCCATGTACCGCGGCAGCACTGCAGGCAGCGCTGCATGACCTCCTCCATTGCGCAGCGCCGCCAGCTGCCAGCGCCTGCTCTACTTCCAGAATGCACTTCATTGTGATATCCTTTCGACAATGGGTGGGTCTCAATTCTACTGCATAATGGAAAGGACCTTTTTCATGCTTCGCGTGCTACCCCACGCATCGGGGCCTTTCGACTAAAAACAAATCCACTCGATAGAAAAGGATGCTTTGCACAAAGTCTAATACATCAGCTCACATCAAGGACTCCAGATACTTTGCATAATGTCCCGCATGCAGAGATCCTGGATCGCCCCAACGAAAGAAAAACCATCCAGCGGCTTAATGTTCCATCCTCTCTGGCATCTCGGAATTAAACCAACTCACACTTGCGCATTTCAGGCTGCCAAACACCGATCGCAGTCTGGACTTCCAGAGCATCAGCTGCTGACGACCTATCATATTTCCAACTTCGTCGGGTCCTGCCATCTATCCAATGACCTGGCACCCTGGTACTCCGCTTCTGCTTGAAAACTGCATGTTCTCCGCCGCGTGAAACTAAAGCCAATCCGCTTAGGAGTGCCCGCATATTTACGGTTTGTGAATGGGGGGCCCGGCTCTAGGTTTGCTGTTACCTTGGGACTCCGCGTCTGCTCGAGTACAACACGCAGTCGCTTGACAAAGCTACATTCTCGTGTCAGATACATGCCAACAAAAACTTCGAACGAGACCGAGCATGAACCATAGCAGTAACATACTCCGCCAAGGTGCCTGCACGGAGGGGGCGTGCAAGAATGATCGTCCGTTGTCTGGAGGTCTCTTTGTGTTTCCTTTTCTAGGGCCACCCCCCTCGCCCCATGGGGGCCGCGTAACACAAACATCTTACCATGGGGTGAACGGGTTCTGAGGAACGGGTCCTGGACACTGGGGCCTGCCCCCATGATACATTTGTCGTCATAGATCGCTTTCTGACACTCCCGGAGATCCGTGGAGGGCCCCAGGAGCCCGAGAACGGCGAACAATCTCAGGACCCTTCCCTCAGAACTCGCCTCCCCCATGGCGAACATCGTCCCTCCTGAACCTGCCCTCCGGCGCTTTCGTCGGCCTCTGAACGGCCGGGAGAGCTTCCAAGTCGGGCGACCAAGATTCGAGAAGGCCTTCAAGACAGCCCACGGGGCCTCCAAGACGGCCCAGGAGGGCTCCACGAGGGCCGCCGGGAGCCCAAGCGGCCCCAAAAGGCGCCCAAGAGGCCCAAGAAGACCCCAAGAGGCGCCCAAGAGGCCCCCAGGAGGGTCCCAGGAAACCCCAAGAGAACCCCCAAAAGCCTTGCCCTCCCTCTCGTCGACTTCTCCGTCTCCTCTTCCTTCTGCTGCGTGTCCTCGTCCCTGCCGCGGGACCGAGGATGGGGTCGAGTTCGCGACCCGACTCAATTCAGGCCGCTCGCGGAACTGCAGCGGGGCGTGATCTCGACCTCCCCCTTGACTCGCGGACGAAGACGATGTCGAGTTCTCACGACCCGTCCTAGTCCAGACCAGTCATCGGAATCGCGCTGCTCATACACCCATTGTCTTTCCTGGGAAGCATGAAACACACATATACTCATGGAAACAAGCAATTACGTACGCAGGCAGGTGCGCGCACAAGCAAACAAAGGCATCAACACAACTGTGTGCGCATGCCTCGAAGAAACTGACATGCAAGCTAGCATACGTGCAAGAGCGCCTTTATTTATTTTCGACGATCATGGGCATTACAAGGGGAGGGAAGGGGCCGGGGAGGGTATAATGTGTAACGCCTCCCCCCCGCCGTGTGCCCGATGCGCACGGCGGCAGTGCCCGGAGCGCACTGGGGGGGAGGGGCGTATAGGGGGGGGGGCGGGGGCTATAATGCCCATTATGCCCCAAACAATGAAGAAACACGCTCCAACCAATCAAACAAGTAAGCGGGCCAACAATCATACAAACAATACCATCAACACAATCGAGTACGCAAGTAACGCAAGCACGTGTGATAAACAGGCAAGCAACCATTCTAGCGCGCAAGCAATCAAGAGAGCACGCAAGCAAGCAACGAGGAACACACAGAAGAAGAGCACGCACACACACACACACCCACCCACACGCAAACTGACAAGCAATGCGTGAGCATCCACTTAGGCATACATTCAAGCAAGCATGCAAATACCTAGGCATGAAAGCAGGCGCAAGTCAAGGCAACAGGCATCGAAACACACAACAGGAATCACCACTCAACGCCTGCGAAAATCTCAGCAATAATCTATATAGATCGGGCCCCCTCCGCCAGACAATGACGATTCGTGTCGACAGAGTCAGCAAGCTCACGTAAGCGAGCCTGTTTGGACTATCAACAACTTGGCACATTCTCGAAATCTGAAGGGCCCTGCAACAATGTTTGTCAGCCTTCCGCGTCTGAGTTGCTCTACATACTCGGAGCGAATCTGCGAACCTCGAGCGAAATTCGTTCAATGTGGCGAACATCCAACACAAATAATGAGATCTGTGACATTACACCGGAGAAAACCATTCGATCGTCCTTACGTGCCAGATCTGCAACCAAGCCATTCTGCGGAGTGTCCTCAGACCCCCTCAAGTTCCCTGCAATGACTAGTTACTGTAAACAGTCCGTAGAAGCCAAGCCATCCACTCAATCATTTTCTGGGGCTTGCCGCGTGACGCTTGCGGCGGCTCGAGTCATTCTGAAAATATGTGGCGTCATTTTCATGCGTTCGGCATCGGAGGGAGTAACCCGAATTGGCCCCGGGAGACATCCATTGCCAGGATGGCCTCCGAGACCGCCAAGAGGGGTTGAAAAAAGGCCCCAGAGCGCCCACGAGGTCCACTAGAGGCCCCCAGGAAACCCGGAAATACCCCAGAGGCCCCCAAGAGGCCTCTAAGAGCCCCCAAGAAGCCCCTAGGAGGCTCCAAGAGGCCCAAAGAGGCACGAAGAGACCCCCAAGAGGTCGATTAGACGCCCCAAGAGGCCCCCAAGAAGTCCAGATGCTCCAAGAAGGCCCCAAGATGGCCCCAAGACGGCCCCAGAGGCCTGCAAGACGGCCCAAGACAGTCCAAGGAGGACATGCACGAGTTTTCGAGAGCGAACAACTCTGTCGTTCACCCCGTAGTTCTGACAGATGTTAGCATACTGGCCCCTTTCTGGCTGCCCGATACCCAAGACGGCGCAAAATCTCCCAGAGAGGGTCCCAAGACAGCCCAACAGGGTCCCAAGAGGGCTCCAAGACGGCTCACTGGCCAAGGGGGCTCCAAGACCACCCAAGGGGGCCACAAGACGGCCCAAGATGCCCCCAAGACGGCCCAAGAGGCCACCAAGAAGGCCCCGAGACGAGCTGGCCCTGACAGCCTTTTCCTACAGCCTTTCGATACAGACTTGTCTACCAAACCCCGAAAGGCCCTGAAAGGCCTCCAGAGGCCCCCAAGACGCCCCCGAGGGGCCCAAGAGACTCCCAAGAGGCCACCAAAAGGTAGCCCTGCAGACAACCAAAGGCCTCGAAACAGAACTCCAAAAGGCTGCCGAGAGGCCTCCGAGAGGCTCCCTGCACTCTGCGCTGCTGTGCTGGCGCGGTGACGGGGCTTGCCGCGGAAGCAACCGCGCGCCCGCATTGGCTGCCACCTCCACACGACCACCTATGCCCCAGAGTCTGGGGAAATAATCAAAGTTTGACACTGCATCGCACTCTGTATGCCGACTCCATGGTTTGCCTCGGCGGCCACGTTCCTCAAGGAATCGCCACCACGGCCAGGAATATGGTAGCAGAGCAGACATGCTCTTTTTGTTCTGGACGTTGCCTTGCCGATTCTCTTTCCGTCTCTCTCTCTCTCTCTTTTTCTACTCACTGCGTACTGTGCACATACAAGAACCTGGGGACAACCCAGCCGACCACAGTCTGCCGAACACGTTCACCAACGCCCAGAGACGGAGCTCAGAGAACATTGGGCTCAGCTGCCTAGCAGCACCGGCGAGACGCCTGGGACCCAGAGCTCAGCCGTCTACCGACATCGACGGCCATCTTTGGTCAGATCGTCTCAAACTCCTGATCGTGTGTGGAGCCCGCTGCAGCACGTCGGCCACGGGGGAGCGTTCCCATGGTCGCTTGACTATCCAACCGAGGCTGTAGGTTCGATATACACGATAGACGTGCACAGACAAACAGGGGATCAACGGGAGAGAACAACTCATCTGCGGAGAAAAGACGCACACAAACAAACACGAGATGATGGTGAGGATGACTGTCTCGTGTGCGCAGGAGCACCAAGCACCAAGGAACAGCAGAAAAAGGAGGGGCGGCAAAGGCCATGCCTCATCTTGCAGAACACCTTGCTGAACATCAAAATAACGCCTGCACAACTGCCGCAATCCGTCGCCGCCCACGAGCGTACCCCACACGATCACTGCACTAGAAAGAGACAACAAAGAAGGAACCTCCCATTGTCAAGCCCATACAAAGGCGCCTCCCATGTCACAAACAGCAGCAACCGTAACGTGCGAGTCGAATTGCACTTTTGCCAGAATGCATGCCTCTCCCTCGACAAGCGATAGCAGAATGCATCGGGCACGCAGTATCGTTTAGGTTAGGCGTGGAAGCCCAATTGGACATGACACGACCTCAAACATCAGCGTCCAACAGTACTCCCAAGCAACACGGACAAATTCGTAACCGATCAACGGGCCTGGGGATGGATGCCAGTAACTGTGACTCCGTCACCACATCGCGGGGCCTTCCGCGCGCCTAGACGGCTGCTCCAGAGCGACGCTTCCCGCGTAGATAGGAGCAGCCATGCCGCTTGCTCGTGCCGCGGCAGTGCTGCTGAAGCTGCACGGCGCACCGCCACAACTCGCTAGCGCGTGCACGGCTGCAAGAGTCCCCCCTAAGTCTTCCTCAGCATGCGAGTGGCGACGTGAGGGCCATGGACAACAAGGGTGTTTCAGACATGATCGGGGGGCTGAGTTGAAGAAGAACAACTACATAACATAAACTGTTGGAACTTCGCGCGGATTCCTTGAATCTGCGCTGCACCCCTCTCCCTGGAACACGGAGCACGCCAGGTGCGTCGGCGCCGGTGACGCCGCCAGGGGGGTCCAGCGCCGATCCATGAACTGCGCGCAGAGCGAAACTTTATGCCTATGCCGGATTTTCGTCCTCGAGGGACGGGGGGGCCTTACGGTGAAGACGCCCGCTGGGCCCTAAGAGGGACTACAATCCAGCAGCAGAGAGAAGATGGATGCCGGGAGCCACGCCTCGGAATTCTCGGTCAGCGACTCGCGCCGCCAGCGGCGCGGCCAGCACGGTTGCCGCACTCCGTCGCTCCCAGGGGGCCGCCCGCAACTAGCAGGATCACTGGGCAGCGGCGGGTAGCGCATCCGCGTGCTGCGCCTGCGCTGCTGGAGCATCACCACGCTGTGCCGCATCATGCCCTCCAGCAACACTCAGCGCCTGCACGGCCGTCCCAATAGACCCATTCCGCCTCCGAGAGCAAGGCGGAAGCGAAGAGAGTAAGCCATGGCGGCTGCTCGATATGGGCAACATTGTTGAACTAGCAAGACAATGCGGGCAAGATTGGCGTACGTGGGGCTGATCTACAGTAAGGAGCGTGAGCGAGTGGCTCAGTTTCGGTGCCATCGTCCAGACATCACATTCCCGATGTGTGCATTCGCTCAGAAGCTAAGGGCGTGGGATTAGCATCGCGCTCCGGGTGAACATACGTCAACAAACTTTCACTTTACGAATCTCTGAGTTCCATACATGTGCATGGTAAGAATAATCACGGTGGCTAATATCATTGCACTCTGCTTTAGGCTTCAACTCGTACACACCCCACCGAGAAATTTGACACATTCCGTGGTTGATGGTCTTGCAGATTCTCATGTCCTGGTGGGCCCCGCGATATTGCTTGGCACCCAGCGGCATAAACGTTCCACGTTGTCCGCCAAGAAGCCTGAATAACTCTTCATGTTTGCCTGCTGGGAATGCCGATCCAACCTGCTTGCAGTGCGCCACTCCATTGGAACTTTTGAATCTCGCTTCCAGGCGTAACTCGAAGACGCGGAAATGCTGCATTAGCTTGCGAGCCGAGCCCGTGCGTCTTAGAAGAGCGCTTCCATGCAGCACGTGCGCCTTTTCCCTCCGCGTGCCACCCTTTGGCATGCGCTGTCGTCTTGCCCCGAATGCTTAGACAATGAGTGACTTCGCCCCGCCTTGACGACACAAGCGCTCACGAGACAGGACTGCATGCGTACTCCCCAAACAGTGCTTGCACCTACGTGTTCGCACTTCTAATGCATGAATGCTGGTCTGGCTGGCTCGTCGCCGCCCCTCGCCGCCGTTCACTGAGCCCGAGTGTCTGTCCGGCCAGCTCCTCGCCGCCCGTCGACGCCATCCGTCGCAGCCCCGGTGCTGGTCAAGCTGGCTCGTCGCCGCCCGTCGCCACCCGCCGCCGCCATCCGTCGCCACCGCCCGCACGCGTCCACGCGCGCTCGTCCACTCGCACTCGTCCACCCGCATAGCGTAGATCAGCATAACAAAGCCCAGCATGCCAGATCTGCAATGCTTCGCACTCCTTCTGCACTGCTGCGTATGTTTGCATTGCGTTGCATTCCGTTGCCTTGTCTTGCATTCCTGTGCATGGCGTTGCATTCCTGTGCATTGTTTGGCAGTCCTTTGCATTGTTTTGCATAGCTTTGTATTGGCGTACAGTGTGTTGCATTCGTTTGCGTGAACATGCATTTCATTGTATTGCAGTGGTGTGCATTGCTTTGCATTGCGCTGCATTGCAATACATCGCTGTGCATCGTGTTGTATTCCTTTGCATTGATTTGCAGTGATGGCATTGCTTTGCGTCGCCTTGCGTTGCTTGATATTGTGCTGCATCAGTTCACATTGGTTTGCCCGGCATTGCATGGCGTGGCATTGCTTGGAATTGCTTTGCATTGAGCTGCATTCATTTACACCACGTTGCATTTCTATGCATTGCGTTGCAGCGATTGTCATTGCGTTGCATTTCTTTGCTTTGCATTCCAGTGCGTTACGCCACATATATCGCACCGCATGGGCTACACATCCTAGATTGCACCCCCGTGGTTGCACCACCAAGGCTGCACCTCATGTATTGCAATAGCGTTATGTTTGGGGTCCACGCGGGCTAACATGTGTGCACAAACAGGTACATGAATAGTTGCACACTCATACGTATGTGTATGGCTATAGCGATTCATGTACAAGACAGATGGGGTTCAGGCGGGCGGGAGGTCATCAAAACTTGTAAAGCTCAAATCATTTAGTTCCGTACTGACTGTGTTCGGCACGCTATCCTGCATTCAGGGGCACTCTGGTATCGGAAAATCCGGTGGGACGATACCAGCGCCCTTGGAAATCTTCGCATGCAACTTAGCTGACGGAGCGCGCCCAACATGGTGCTCCCAGGCATGTTTCTGCACCCCAGAACGTAGTATCCTCCAAGCTGGGATAGATCTCCCTCCCCTCCCGAACCCCCCCACCCTTCCATTTACGTCTCGAGGGGGAACGATAAGGGTGGACTGGCTCAGGCGGGCGAGAACTAACCTGGAATCGACGGTACACCGTCGAATCGGCGATATGCGATAGGCCCCTGATGGGGACCAGCTTTCCTGGCTTGGCAAGGACTGTTCGGTGCCAGCACATGGGAGCCTCCCATGCCATCCTGCTGGCTCTTGAGAATCGGCGCTATCCGATACAAATCGGCGCTTCGACACTACATGAACGCTAATGGACGCTAATCGATGCTACATCGGCGTTGTCCCATCGACTACAAGGCGCTACTGCACGCTAGTGCAGTCTGAAGATGGACTTGCGAGGGCACACGCGGCTCCCATGAGTTGCTGTGGTGGCGAGCACAAGAGGGTTGAAGTGGACGGGGGTAGGCGTGTTGCAAGGATGCTGCTTCTTAGAAGGCGCTGGCCCTACATCTACAGAGAAGGCCCGCGCCTTCTAAGACGCAGGAGTGCTTCTAAGAAGTCCCCCTCCCCCCAACCCCCCTCTGCGCGTGGCTGATTGCTACCAAAACAAAGGTATGGGGCCACGTTCAGGGAGGCAGATCCCGCTAGAGTAGCCCCACAACAGCCTCCCTCCCTGGCCCCGTCGGGGCCAGGAGAATGGACCAGGGGGTTCTTGCCGCCCTGGGCGGTTAGTACACGTGCTCGGTCTGTTGTCGGGCTCGTGGTTCTGCTGTCAGCGCTTGGCCAGGACTGGACCTGCTACCAAAGTCTCCCTCCTGACTGCCTTCCCTCGCTGCTGTGGCAGCGAGGCCTCGCGCCTCAGCGCGTCGGCATGCCCGGAAATGGCGGCGGGGCCTGCGGCGCCATGCGCGCGCCGGGGCCGACGTGCAGGAACCTCGGGGGCGGTTCGGGCATGGCTTTAAGTCGGGCGTGTCCCCCTACAGGGGGATTTTGGGCGAAAAATAAAAAAAAACTCAAAAAATGCCCACCCCCAATGGGCAAAACTAGGTAAAAAAACGTCCTCTGACTATTTCCCAACCATCCTGTGGTGTTGGGTCCTCGTTTTGACCAGACAGCGCCCCGCGTTCCTCTCCTCTCCTCTCCTCTCCTCTCCTCTCCTCTCCTCTCCTCTCCTCCTCCTCCTCCTCCTCCTCCTCCTCCTCCTCCTCCTCCTCCTCCTCCTCCTCCCCATCACCATCACCATGAACATCATCATCACCATCCCCTCCCTCTCCCTACACCATCGTCACCATCATCACCGTAACCCATCATCCATCAGCATCATCATCCTCATCCACATCCTCCTCATCATCGTCCCTACCCCCCATGTCGTCACACCCCTCACATGTTTCGTGGCCCCACAGGGAGCCCCACCTAAGGCCGCAGTGGCGGTGTTCGCATGCGCCCCCCCACCCAGGACAGCGTTTCGTGGCCCCATAGGGAGCTCCACCGAAGGCCCCAATGGTGGTGTTCGCATGCGTCTCCCCCACCCAAGACGGCGTTTCGCGGCCCCACATAAAGCTCCACCAACGGCCCCACTGGGGGTGTTCGCATGCGTCTCCCCCACCAAGGACAGCGTTTCGTGGCCCCATAGGAAGCTCCACCGAAGGCCCCACTGGGGGTGCTCGCATGCGTCTCCCCCGCCCGGGACAACGTTTCGTGGCCCCATGGGGAACTCCACCGAAGGCCCCACTGGGGGTGTTCGCATGCGTCTCCCCCGCCCATGACAGCGCTTCGTGGCCCCATTGTAAGCTTCACTGAAGGCCCCAGTAGGGGTGTTCGCATGCGTCTCCCCCACCCAGGACAGCGCGTCGTGGCCCCAGGGAGCTCCACCGAAAGCCAGAATCGGGGTGTTCGCATGCGTCTTTTCGTGGCCCGACCTCCATACCACGGGACGCATGCGTCTCCCCACCCAGGACAGCGCTTTTAGAGGGACCGAAGGCTGTTCGCATGCGTCTCCCCACCCAGGACAGCGCTTCGGGGCCCCATAGGGAGCTCCACCGAAGGCTTCAATCGGGGTGTAAGCATGCGTCTCCCCCACCCAGGACAGCGCTTCGCGGCCCCAGGGAGCTCCACCGAAGGCTTCAATCGGGGTGTTCGCGCGCGTCTCCCCCACCCAGGACGGCGTTTCGCGGCCCCATCGGAAGCTCCACCGAAGGCCCCACTGGGGGTGTTCGCATGCGTCCCCCCCGCACCCAGGACAGCGTTTCGTGGCCCCATAGGAAGCTCCACCGAAGGCCAGAATCGGTGCGTTTGCATGCGTCTCCCCCACCCAGGACAATATTTCGTGGCCCCATCGGGAGCTCCACCGACGGCCTCAATCGAGGTGTTCGCACGCGTCTCCCCCACGCAGGACAGCGTTCCCACGATCCACGCGAGGGGCGTGCCGATATGGGAGAGAGCGTGATCCACCGCCGCTTTACTGTGGAAAATTGCCAACCGTTTCCTCCGGAACCCGGGGGTTTCCCCCCCCCCCCCCCCTCTCCGAAAATCCCCCCCCCTTGCTGGACCCCCCCCCCCCCCTTTCCCCTCGGCAACCCCCCCCCCTCCCCTAACCCTCCCCCCCCCCTCTCCCCTCGAAAACCGGGGGGGGGGTCACTACCGGTTCGATGCCGTCCCCCTCCCCCCCCCTCTCGGATCCGGAAAACCCCTCGAAAACCGGAGGGGGGTCACTACCGGTTCGACCCCCTCCCCACGCACCGCCAGCAAACGACTCCCGTCCCTACCACCGCTCGCATCACATCCCCCACTGTTGTTCCCAGCACCACTGTCCTCACCACCACTGTCCCCACTGGTTCCACCACCGTCCCTATTGTCCCCACCAGTGCCCCCACCACTGTCGCACTGTCCCCACTGTTCCCACACTGTTCCCACCACGGTTCCACTCTCCCCACTGTCTCCACGGACCCAACCACTGCCTATCCCCACTGTCCCCACTGTCCCACTGACTCCTCCGCTGTCCCACTGAGCTGTCCCACTGTTCCCACCACTGTCCCCACTGTCCCCACCACTGTCCCCACTGTACCTCTGTCCCATTGTCCCACCGCCGTCCTCGCCACCGCCTTCACCACTGTCCCCACCACCATTGTACCCTCCACTGTCCCACTGTTTCCACCTCATTCCCACTGTCCCCACACCACTGTCCCCACCACCACCGTCCCACCACTGTCCACTGTCCCCCCTGTTCCCACCATTGTCCCCACCACTGTCCCCACCACTACCGTCCCCACCACTGTCACTGTCCCACTGTCCCCACTGTCCCGCTGTCCCCTCACCACTGTCCCCACCAACACCGTTCCCACCACTGTCCGCACCCCCACTCGGTTTTCGAAGGGGGGGGGGTTCGAACCGGTAGTGACCCCCCCCCCTTTTCATGATGAACTGGGGGAGGGGGGGGGGCTGGGGGGGGGGAGGGGTTCGAACCGGTAGTGACCCCCCCCGGTTTTCCGGGAGGGGGGGGGGGGGGGGAGGGGTTCGAACCGGTAGTGACCCCCCCCCGGTTTTCCGCCAGCAGCGGTAGAACACGCTCTTTCCGATATGGACGTCGGCATGCATACGCGTAGACTCACTCGCACGCAGACTCATGCACAATCAGATCCACTCGTGCTCATTCTCACCTGCTCTCAGGCCTTCGTTATTGGACCAATCGTCTTCTTCCGTGTTGCGTACCCCGCCACACATCGGCACGCCCCTCACACGGTTCTTGGCCTCATAAGGAGCTCGACCGAAGGCTCCAATGGCAGGGTTCGCATGCGTCCGCGCCACCCAGTACAGCGTTTCGTGGCCCCATGGGGAGCTCCACCGAAGGCCCCAGTGGCTGCATTCGCATGCGTCTCCCCGCCCAGGACAGCATTCCGTGGCCCCACAGGGAGCCCCACCGACTGCGTTGCTCACAAAGGCGGTCCTCACAACTGCACTATGGTTGGGTCCTTCGCCAGGCTAACTGTTTGACCATTTCTGAATATTCCTCCTGTAGAGGCGCAGGCCCGACGTAAGGTAAGCATGGCCGGGGGGAGGACGGCAAGGAGAGGGGCGAATCGACGGCGAGCCCACGGGCGGAGCGAGAGCGGGCGGGCCTTCGCAGGGGGGCTCGCAGGGCCTCGAGCCCTCCGAGAAGTGCCCCGAGCCTCCCCCGAGGACAGGAAGTGCTTCGCGAATCCTCGAGGACTGCTGCGAAGGCCCGAGCCAGGTCACGACGGAGGGCCCTCGCCAGGCCCTGGCGCCGTCGAAGAGCACCCCGTGCTCGGCACGTGCGCCTGGGGATCCCCGGAACTCGGGATCCAAGGCGGAGGCACCACTTGCCAGGAGGGAGCGCCAAGGGAGCCAAGCGAAGCGCCGCGCTCCACAGGCTGTCAGTGGCCCTGCTGCCGGCGGGTCTCCAGAGGGTTCGCCCTTTTGGCGGGCTGCTCCATTGAAAAGCAACACTGCGTACCTCCCGCATCGGCTTCGAGGCGGGCGCAGCACGGCGGCGGACGGATGCGGGTCGGCACACCTAAGACAATCGCTCTCGATGTCCTGATATATACGGTGGTAGTGCATGATAACCGACAAGCTGCGAGTCCTGAGTGCAAGTGTAAGGGTGTGACATCGTTTGCTGACGAAGCGATGTGATTAAAGCGCCATGATGGTCAGATGTAACAAGCTGACGTAACAGCACAAACCTGTGGCATTACCACATGAGCAGGGCGTGACTGCATCAGACATCCTCGCAAACTTCGAAGAACGTGCTTGGCGTTCAAATGATGGTTTCTTCGCTCACTGCGAGCCTACCAAATCGTTTCATGAACACGGATATATCAAAATGCCAACCCCCTACGATGCCAATGTCACATCAAAAGACAACAATTGACCAGGAATATGTAGGTGGCCTGTCCTTGGCAGCGCGTTCCAGATCTGCTGCCCAGAAATGGCACTGCTTGTCCCATCGCTCGTGGACATCGCCCCCGATCGCACATGGCATCCAACACATTGATTTCAATTCTTCAGATTGCCCTTCCCTCTCCATCCCAACACCTGTAGCCCGGAAGAAGCAGGGCAAGATCGGTGCACGCAACTGGAATCTCCCCGGCACTGATCCTGCAAGTCGCAGTCCCCTGGAGAGCCTGCAGTCGGCCCTGAAGCAGCGCCCGCTGGTGAAGTTGAAACAGATCTGCGTCCGCCTGGGGCTACTCCCCCGTACAACTGCGCTTCTCGCTCCTTCTCCTTCACCTTTGCATCTCACGGTGAATGATCAAACAGATCACACAACAACACAACGTGTGCGTGGGGCGCCCGCGATGCAGACTAACTGTGTCTGAGCTTTGCGCCGACCTGGAACTCTTGTCGAGCTCGAACCGTCAACGTGAACATCTTTCCTTCCCAGGTCGACGAGGCCGACTCCGTCTGTCTGCCTACTCAGACCTACATCTTGAGACAATGGCAGCGCTGATCGAACACAGAGTCAGGATAATGTTGGAATTTCTGACGGCTGACAAGTCTACTTAGTCTAAGATGTCTATATATATGTGTATATATATATATATATATGTGTGTATGTATATGTCGCCGAGGCCGCTGAGAGGCATCTGGAATACTCTCGAACTGTCGGACCTCTTTACAAAGCCCCCTGCGTCGTGAACTGTTCAACACGAGGACCCCGAGGTCTGTCAACAGGGAAAACTCGGCACGGAAACACACAAAAGCTGATGCCCATGAAAAAAATAAAAACGATTGGCAGTGTAAGGGACAACGGAACCCATGAACTATTACAGAACATATTGGGAATCCTGGGATTTATGTCCAGTTAGTTGTGTCGCTGGGCCCCTTCAGTCTGGACCTACCACCTGTAGCCCGCTCCTCGCCCTGAACCCTTGTTCCGACGGCCCAGGGGCCCAGAGTAGAAGGGCACCCCGCGGCTGGAGAACTTGCCCCCAAAACCGTCCACCTCGGCATGCTTCACGACGTCATGGCCATGGGATGGAAAGGAGGAGGAGGAGGAGGAGGAGAAAAGCGGGGAGGAGGAGGAGGAGGAGGAAGAGACAAGCGGTGAGGAGGAGCACGAGGAGGAGGAAGAAGCAGGGAGGAGAACAAGGAGCAGGAGGAGGGCTGCGCCTGACAGTCCCTGAAGCCACCAGGGACCAGAAACCAGGAGAAGGAGAAGGAGGAGCAGGAACAGGAGCAGGAGGGAACCCGCGACCAGCCACTCTTGGCGGCGCGCACAGTGGGGTCTGGGGGAGGGGGGAAGGCTCCCTACGTCTGCAGACAAGGTCGGCGCCTTCTAAGAAGCAGGGGTGTTTCTGAGAAGCCTTCCCCCCTCCCCCTACCCACCATGCGACGTCCTGATTTGTTCCGTACGCGGTCCCTGAGTCGCAACCCCTTCCCCTGGGGCGCTTTTTCCTCCTGAGTCGTTTTCTGAAGGTCCCGGGGGGCGGCGAGGGCCCCAGGAGGCAGAAAATCGCAGGCTGACTGTTTCTGTTTCTTCCCCGGGTAACGGCCGTTACCAAGGGGGGTTCAGGCGGGAGGGTAGCGGTAACGGCGGCCGCGGCGTGCTCCCGCCAGGGTGCGTCCGCGCCACCGGCGCATCAATCGCACGTGAGCACCGCGCTCCATGTGCACACGGCAATGTAATTAGGGGGAAGGCCCAGGCCCCGGGGGGGGGAGGAGGAGGAGGAGGAGGAGGAGGAGGAGGAGGAGGAGGAGGAGAGGAGGAGGAGGAGGAGGAGGAGGAGGAGGAGGAGGAGGAGGAGGAGGAGGAGGAGGAGGAGGAGGAGGAGGAGAGAGGAGGAGGAGGGTGAGGAGGAGGAGGAGGAAGCGTTCGCGTTCGTTCGCGTTACGTTAGAGGGGGGGGGGTGGCGCGTTACGCCAGGGAGGGGGAACAAAAAAACGCTCACAAGAAAACCTCCCGCCCAGGTTCTCTCACGCCTTCACGACGCGATCATGTCGGGGTACCCCAACTCTGCGCGTGGCCGACACTCCCTGGTCCCTGGGGCGCCCTTGGTGCGCAAGGGGCCGCGGGCCGCAGGCCGCGGCCGCCCGCGGGAGGGGGCCCCGGGGGGGGCGCCGCTCCCGCGGGCCGTGGGCCGCCCCGCCCGGCATGGCGCGCTCGCAGCGGGCACGTGGAAGCACGGGTGCGGTCGTGGCGCTCGACGACAGGCCAGAGTCCACCATCACTGCCACGGGCAGGACGGGGGAGAAGGGATGATGGGAAGGCAATCCTCCTCCTCCTCCTCCTCCTCCTCCTCCTCCTCCAACTCCACCTCCTCCTCCTCCTCCTCCTCCGTCCCCCTCGTCGTCGTCCTCCTCCTCCCCCTTCCCCTCCTCCCCCTCCTACCTCTGGCAGAAGGTGGCTGAACATCGGCCCGTCGCTCGATCAAGAACCGATGGGGGCTGTCCCGGGCCACGGCGAGCATCCGCCGCGGCTCGGCTCCCCGACCCAGCTCCGAAGGGGCGGCCCGAGAGACAGAGCCCCCCCCCCGGGGGTCCTTGGCGCTGCTTCGTGGCCAATGGGGGCCCGGGGGCCCCGCTCTGCCCAAGGAGGTGGCTTTGGCCCTCGAGGGACGACAGTCGACTCGCATCGGAAGGATGCGCGATAAGGACGCCAGGGCCTTGGGAGGCCGGTTCGAAGCTTCTCGAGCGTGGCGCGGCCAGCGGAAGTGGCGAAGGATGGACCGAGGAGGCAAGGATGCATGGGTACCCTTGGAAAAGTTGCTGATCCTTACTATGCGGGTTGACTGTGCCCCCGACCACTCGGCGGAAACCACGCAAATGATAGAGAACCCGCAGAAGCACAACGACATGATTACCGATGCGACACAATCATTGCGGAAGCCATGCACTATGCCCAAGAGCGGGCGCTGGCCAAAGCCGAGCGCGGCCGCCGTTTGGCAGGCGGCTCCCCTTCGAACACGGACGGAACAACGTCCGCGGATGTGCCGACAGCAAGCCCCGTCCAAAGCGAGCAGGAGCTGCTGTCTGCCTTTGTCCGTACGTCAGGTTCGTGTCGTGCCGATTGCGGCGTTGGTTTCTGACACCGCGGGGATCGTTCAACCTTGAACGATCGGCCGTTTCCGAAACGTCCAAATCGCTCCATATCGAACGATTATGGGTCGCCCGCGGCGTTAAAAATTGAACGCCACTGGCGGGGTCGCCGCTGGTCGACACGACACGAACCTACCGTACCCACTTTGGGGTCCAACGCCGATCCGACACAAATCCGCGTGGAACTTCGCTTCAGGACCCTCAATGTTCCCGCTTGTGGTTGTGATGACCGCGCGGCCCCAAAGGTCCCGACCGATTCCCCAGAGGTCGTTTCGTCCCATATCCATCTTTGGTAGCCTGGGCGGGGGCACAACGGAACGCACATGCCGAGATCGAAGAAACACGCCAAGATCGAATTACTCCGACGGTAGGACCCCGCATGAGAATCGTCAGAACTAATCCGGAAGTAATCCTCATCGTCGTTCTGGTGCCTACGGAGGCTCCCTTCCTGTCTGGTATTAGCTGCTCCTTGCCGACGCCTGCGTGCTGGATTGAGGATGGAAGCCTCGGATTGCAAAGGACCCCTGACAACGGAACCAGGCTCCCGCTCGAGACTTTGTCCAGATTCAGACTCAAAGGTGTTACGGTGGGGGCGTTGGTTAAGGACTGTGCCCAGAAGGCGTCAGACCCTGGAGGGTTCCTTATCTGAGGAAGGCGGCGGTGATATTCATAGTCAACCCGCGATTGGAGCTCACCGTCTTCCGGACCCTGGATTCTTTATCCAATGATTCCTTATCCAGTGCCCTCACCGTACCGAGCCTGTGCTTCTACAGGGAATCCCAGCGGCCACTTCGGATTAGCAGCTAGCCGCTGGGACATCGGGAAGGGCCCCTGCTCGAGACTTCCGTTCAATGTGCGCAGGGATGAGGCTCCCGCTCTGAACTTCCTCGGGATTCGGGCTCCCAATTGCCACCAAACTTTGCTTGTACAACAAATTCCGATGGCCGCCTCGGATTGCCGTCATGTATGTCGGAACCCCATAGCGAGTGGCGCACGCCGCACGCCGAAGACTTCCTCGCGAATAACTCACGGACGAGGCTCCCGCTCGAAACATCCCCTCGCTTCGCTCAAGAGCGAAAACTCCCGCTTCAGACTCCTTCGGGAATCAAACTCCCAAGTGTTACGAAACTTATTTATGTTACATGCCAGTCCGATGGCAGCCTCTGGCTACCAGCATGAGGTGGGGACCCCATACGAAAGGAGAGGCTTCAACTCAAGACTTCCTCGCGCCTCACTCACAAACAGCTTAGCGCCAGAGGCATTCTCTCAAGTTGCTCAGGAACGAAGCTCCCCCTCGAGACTTCCTCGGGATTGATGCTTCAGGGTGTCACCAAACCTGTGCTGTTACAAAGAAATCAGGTGGCCGCCTCGAATTGCCATCATGGATGTCGGGGCCCCGAAGGGAGGTGCGCACGCCAAAGACTTCCTCGCGATTAACTCACAGGTAAGGCTCCCGCTCGAAACACCCTATCGATTTGCCCGTTTGAGACGCATCCGGGAATCAAACTCCCAAATGGCACCAAACATGTCCATACACGGCATTTCGAGGTGGGGACCGCCTGGGGGGGCCTCCGCTCGAGACCCCTTCGCGATTCACTCAAAGACGAGGCTCCTGTTCGAGACTGAATACCCAGGTGTCACCAAACCTGTGCTTCTACAAAGTCTTCCTACGGCCGGCTCGGATTACCACCGTGAGGCGAAGGGAGGCGGCTCCCGCTCGAGACTTCCTCGCGATTCACTCACACGGGAGGTTCCCGCTCGAGACATCATTTCAATTTGTTCCGAAACAATGTTTCCGCACTAGATTTCCTCTGGATTCAGGCTCGCGGGTGTCAACAAGCTTGTGTTTTGTTGGCATGGTATTCCTATGACCGCCTTGGACTACCATCATGGAGATGGGCACACCACAAGGAGGAGTTCCCACTCGAGACCCCCATCGCCAATCGCTTAAAAGCGAAGTTCCCGCTCCAGACTTTGGCCCCAGAGTATCCGATGACCTGCTCGGATTGCCAACGTGAGGGCGGGAATACCATAGGGAAGGGTTCCCCCTGGATAATTCTTCGCGATTCATTCTCAGTCGCGACATACGCTCGAGGCGTAAGTTTTCAGGTGTCACCCAAACTGTGCGTGATTTAGTTACACG